CAGTTTGGCTTTGACTGAATCAGTTTGTTTGTTAAGTGTAGGTTTCAGTTCTTTGATCCAAAGCATTTCTTTAATTAAGTAATCAAACTTGGATCTGTACTTAGATAAAACCTTGAAATAATTAACAGTTTCAGTAGCACTAATATAATGATCTTTTAAATGTTGTCTTATGTTACCTTTACTGTGCATAATCATTTCTTATTTAAAATAGAATTATTTAATCAATCAGTAACTTGTGTTTTTTTTTTTAATGAAATTAATGATTTTCTTTAAAAAGATGCTACCCAAGGCAAGACTTTTTTTTATACCTCGTTTGACGAACTCGCTGACTATTGTACATTTTACTGTACTGTATATATGTATTCCTACTAAAAGGTTTCTAATACTAATTTAACAGTGTCTTTTTTAACACATGCAATGTTACTATTTTTTAAAAGTTGCTTTGTAAGTTACAGCATTGTAGCAAAAACTAATTTATTTTTGTTCTCAAATATGCATATTCTTTATGTTGATTTATTAATTAAATTTTTGCTACAGGGTATTTTACAGCATTTATTTATTTATTTATTATTAATTTTTTTTTTCTTGAATTTTATAATTGAGGGCCATTTTTTATTTCTTGATTCAATTCTTGCTTATACAGTATTTAAATATTTGAAGATTTAAAAAAAATATATCATTTCTATTACCGAATTTTTCATTGGGGCCATTTTTACCTACCTGTCATATGGGGCCATTTTTACCAGGGCCATTTTTTCAAGGGCCATTTTTTCCGGGGCCATTTTTTCTGGGGCCATTTTTTCCGGGGCCATTCTTACCTACATTCGACTAAGGGAAATGTACTTGTAGAAATAATGTATCTTGGCCTAAGTTAGCACTTATAACTAATATGTTTGTTATTTTTTAGACCGGTGTTTTCTTGTGCTGTTGTTTCTTGCTTATGCCTGGAAACCAATGAAATAGACTGAGGGATTTGATAGGGCAAATGTAATAAGGAAACGATGTGAGTATAACTTCCTTTATTGCATACATTGCCTCAAAAGTGTCAAAGATAGTTAAATAGATGGGTAAGGCAATGTCTTTAAACTTGGTACGGTACAAACTCCTATAGATGTTAGCCCAGATGGATGGCCGTCAGCCAATGCAACCCATTCTCTCCATTGGACTTGTCATCGTTATATTTTGAAGGGTTCAAAAACATTTATGAGACGTCCTGTTGTTCGCATCCAATCTTGTACTTATGTCACTTAGCGCTGCCTATCTATTTAATTGTGTGTTAATTATCAGCAATTCTAATGTGATTACTTAATAACCGGTACTTAATATAATTACCATTTGGTATTAGTTGATTAATTAACTTTCTCTATTATTTTCAGAAAATCATGTACAATGGAATCAATTGTTTTCACTAATACCCGGTACCGTAATTGATAAACAGACATGATAGGGCCTACTTAAAAAGAAATGTGCTTGCCTATTTTATTAAGTAATGTCAATGCCTTAATTCTTATAATATAATATTAAAGTACCTTAATTGAATCCTATAGTACGTTATTAATTAGTTGAATTAGCAATTATTCTTTCAACAATTAGACTTCTGTGGCCTTGGTTTTACGGTGATTCTGGTTTTACATCGGTATTTCTAAATATAGGCAAGCGTGTGTAGTTCATTATGAATAGGAATTTCGTATAATCGTATAATAAATGTTGACAATTAACAAATGGTACTTCGATAGGTTAACTAATACTAGGCTTAAGCATATTTATATTGTATTATTTAGGCCTATTCTTATTTTAAATTGAAGCTTGATTTGGTAGACCTATAGGCTACCGCCCTTCGGTGACAGGTCTAGAAGTTTGAAATAGATGGTGTAAAAGGGGCTTTAGCACCTGACAGGGGCGGATCCAAGATGAAATTTAGGGGAGGGGGTGAGGCTCACTCGGTGCTAAGCACCGAGTGGGGGAAAGGTTTGGGAAGGGTATCCTCCTCCCATATTAGGGATTTTTTAGTGGAATGGCTCCATAGCCCCACATGATCCCCGCTGCCTCTACATGCTCGAAAGCTGCACCGTCAGACTTACCTTTAAATGTACCGGTAACTTTATTTTTTACATTTTTTTTTTCAATTTGCAAACATTTAGGGCAACCATTATGCCTGTACTATCCTTGAATCCACCCCTGCCCTTGCATTTCCTGATTCAATAGTGAAATAGATGACATTTTAGCCGTTGAGAGTGTCAAATATATGGCAGTCAAATCAATAGGAAGTCAACAGGTGAGTTTCGGACCATTCCGATTTGATACAGGTGAAGTATGTCCTGGTCGACCAACTGTAATTAAAAAGATAGGCTTAACAACCATTCTAATAATTATGTATTAACTTGTTTGTAGCAAAACCGTAACATGTGTTCATTAGCGTTAATCCAGTAGTAGAAAATACGGTAGCAAATATCTTATCAGTAAGCTTTTGATCCGCTATCCCGGGACCTTCTTTATCTGAATGACATTAGCAGCATTTATTTCCTTTTTATTGGCTTAACGCAACAACGAAGTAACGAAAAAAGTTTTGAAGACGAATTAAGTAATTTGATCAAAAGCTTCAATGTTTGTACAACTAGATAGACATAGGCTACTAATTATAGACCCAACAATCTAAAACCGTGATTATTTTATTATAACATTCGCGAACGTTGTCAGTGGTTTATAGGTTAAAGTATGTATAAAATGACCTTAACACAACGTTCCTGCAACGAAATATGTATTTATGGTTTTACAAAACGTTTTGGATCGAATAACGTTATTATGACGTTAATTGTAATGACATTTCCACGTTTTCTCCCGTGTGACAAACCTATGTTTTCTTTGTTCAAAATATTTTAGTAATATTTTAGTCAAGTAATCTAAAAAATCTAAGAAAATCTAATCAAGTACGGTAAGTTTTTATTTTCCAACATTTCACAAGGATCAATGAGAGCAGTTATTATCATCACCATTAAGCACGTTTTTCCGTTAATGAACTTGAAATGTAACTGATAGGCTGAATAACGTTAGCATGTTTATATCCTAGATCTACCGTATGTAGCGTAAATCTCAAGTATGGTAACTTTTTAAAACTTACTCTTAAGTCTGTATTGAAAATGTGTCATGACTGTACTTATGGACGCAGTCGCATCGTCATGTCAAACTTCAACCAATATATCAGGAAGTTTTTAATTTAACCATGATGGACAGCGGAGAATGAACTTTAAAAACTGAATTACAGAAATACAGTGCATTCGGTAATAGTATGTTTATATTACTTATTTGAAGAATGAAACAATGGGAGTGCATTAATTATGAGTAGGCCTATACGGTATATATTTGTAAAAATATACTAGGCTTGGTCCTATCCTGTAGAGGAAAAATAACGAAATAGGCCTATGAATAATAATCAAAAAATAACGTGTATCTAAATCTAATCAAGAGTTGTTTTCTATCACTCCATACTTTCCATTCAAGTCCAGTTATGACACTTCATACGGTAGTATTTGGCTAAAATTACGTCAATGAAAATGCCGATTTCCCGTTTTCAAAGAAAGATAGGTCTCTCAGATCGTGAATGTACGAACTTCTATTTAACTTAACCCCTCTTTTCTAATGCCAACGGTACCGACACTCAAGTACTTTGTCAAGAATACCGTACGACACATATGGTATCATTGAATGTGACGCGCACATTATCTTACACCGGGATAATGTGTGCCACACTCATTTTATTAATTTATTTTTTATTATTGATGACGAGATTTTTTTTTAATTGTCGACCCTTAGAACACATTTACATGCACAGGTTCTTTCAGATGACTGGTATTAGTGGTGGTATTCATCAATATACAGGCAATGACTTTTAAAGATGTTAGTTAGTATCTGTCTAAATACAGGAAAATACCTAACAAATAGAATAGCTCATTTCAAAGAATCAAATAAATTAATATTAGCTTCCACCATGCTTCCACCAAGAAACAGATAAAGAAAAACCTTTTTCACCGATCTGTAAAAGACATTTTACAACAAACATCCTTAAACATTGGCTGGATACCGTAATCAATTTAAGGATTTTGAATTAAAATGTTTGTAAAATGGTGAAGTGTTTTTCGATCTGTTTCTTGGTTGAAGCTAATAATTTATTTGGTCCATTTAAATGAGCTTTTCATTATTTTATTTTATTTTTTAGCTATTTTCCTGTCGTTTGACTGATAGTACAGTTAAAAGTCCCTGGTACAGGACATCGAAACATAAATAACTTATATGCTAGACGCAGGCCGTGTTACATTGATTGACCGCGGGTGTTATTATTCTATTATAAAACGAAAAGTAGTACAATAATAATGTCACGTTGCAAACATGTATTTAGTTCTATTTCCGTCCAGTCGTATAGTAAAGGAAAGGATTGAAGTTTCCGGAGGCGCCTCATCGGAATTACAAGTAGGCTTATCCATAGTGCAGTCGTCTGGTAGACGAAACGTGTATTCATTAAAAACGACTAATGTCATTAATATTTATATGCCTTGTTTTTGAATTATGTTTAGCTTATGAGTCATATTTTTCATAACGCGTCGTTTTTAGATCCGTAAGTCTATATATAGATTATGAAACGGTGAGAGTACAGCCCCACCTTTGTTTCGGTGTGTGTTTACTGTCCAGGAGGTACGTGCTAGCCGTCTGCATCAGTGATTCATTGGAAACTTGGCTGTGGTTGAGCACACCAATCAGTGTCTCCACACGGGTCCCTTAAGCTCAATTTTACTCGGAAATTCACAAGAAATACAAACAAAACATGACAACCGGTCTATATCGGTTCTTAAGAAGTGGTCCGTATCTACCACTGGTGGTTTAGTGGCCTTGTATATCTATTTAGACACCTTAAAGTTAAGGATGGGTCAATCTGTCGTCGCGCGCCCACTGTTCTTTAAACTTTTGTTGAGCTGCAAACTTTATTTTTGTTCCATGACTCATTTAATTTTCAGAATGAGATAACATTAAAAAGTAATTGATTGGTTATTGAATTGCAACGATTCAATAAGCTTTATGTTTCATACCGAAGACATCAAATAAAAATAATGAAAATTATCATAATTCCCATCCAGGTGCGGGAAAACGGCAAATTTACAGAAAGAAAATATATACAATGATTCATACATACTACAATTTGTAAAAATGTATAGGGCCTTTACCTTTATCGTAACGTATTAACACATTTTATGTTCAAATTTGTTTGCTTGAAAGCGTTTTTTTTATAGGCCTATTATACCGTATGTATTCGAATAAACGCCCCGGGGAAGGGTTTTTGAGGGGGCGTTTTTGTTGTAAAATGAACGCCCCTTACTTTTACTGTAAATGTGTGGAACTACAATACATAATTACCGTCTAAATGTTTGCGTGATCATCAATCCCATCCCGGTTAGAAAAATGTAGTTCTACTGGAGTACAATATTAATAGAATCTGTTGGGAATGATGCTGTTGCCATTACAATCGTTCAGTAGAAAGGGTGTGGGGGGGGGAGGGGCTTTTGAGAGGCGTTTATAAAGATATATTCAAAGCGGGGCGTTTAATCGAATAAATACGGTAGTGTACATTATATAGTCTCGGACGTATCTAGAGTATATTAAATTTTTCTAAGCACTAAAACATTACAGGCTTAAATATTAATAGAAATATAAGCCTGTTTATGGTTGTGATTACTTCAGATAGGCCTAATAACCGAAACATTATATTAAGTATAGGCCTATACCTAATGTCCATCATAAACAATTATTAGTTTAATTTTTTCCAAGTAGGCATACCATATGTTTTCTACAAAAATAACACAGGCTCTACATTTTAGACTTCGGTCTGATTTCTATAAACTAGGGCCATTAAACTGTGAAGAAGCTAATTGCTTGAGGATATGTTTCTGAATACTTTTTTTAACGAATATATTATTATTAACAACGAATTAATGCTTTGAAAGCGTACGGACTGTATTATTAACCACGCACTATACCTTGGTGGAATACCGTAAAACTTCGAATTGAAGCCCAGTGGGCTTAATCTCGAGAGGAATCCCCCTCTTTAGGTTGCAAATTTAGCCTCGAAGATAGCATAGGCTTCTGTTCGAAATAGTTCAATAACACACTGTACATAAATTAAAATTTAAAAAAAAAGAAGTTAATAATAATAATAATAGTGTAGTTTTATATAGCGCACAAATCCTGTCTCTTATACACATCTAAAAATGTAGTTCTACTGGAGTACAATATTAACAGCATCATCGAATTGAAGCCCAGTGGGCTTAATCTCGAGAGGAATCCCCCTCTTTAGGTTGCAAATTTAGCCTCGAAGATAGCATAGGCTTCTGTTCGAAATAGTTCAATATACACGCTGTACATGAATTAAAATAAATTTTAAAAAATGAATCGACTCACAAGCTTGGTCCATGCAGTAGTTGGTGAATTAATGCCAGTTAATACACTCCTGGTACAGATTGATGTTACAGTGGCCTTATTTATTGTTTTATAATACAAATTCCCAAAATTTACGGCATTCATTTTGAAAAGAAGCCCCCCTCAAAAAGAAATCCGTCCAAAGTTCGCAAAAAAAAAATGCCCAAGGCTTACGGCATAACGTTGGATTATAACATTTAATTTGAAACTAGGTCCACACGGGAGAAAATTAAATTATTTATACACACCGTTTTCGCCAATGAGTCTAATTTATGGTGTGAACCAAGACATTAATATCGGACAAACGTAGGATACATTAAATCAATTTTTGTTTATAAAATGAAAATAAGTGTGAACTGGTATAAGTGAACTGATTTCTAAGAGTTATTTATTTTTGTCGTAGAATGATTGCTATTTGTCGGTCGTTGGCTGGATTCGATACTCATTATCTTATTGAGCCTCAAGCAAGCTTCAAGTTGTGATTCGAGGAGACGCGTGTTGATTGGTCAATGTAAGTTTTAAGGTGCTGCGGAATCGTGCTATCCAACAATCCTATCAAGGGTTTGGCCAATGTCATCAACCTTACTGATTATAAAATTGCTGGGTATTTTAGCTGTTTATTAAAAATATTTTTGTTTTCTGTTTTAGTTGTGTTAATAATGGAATTCGCCTTAAAAATGAAAACAAATATAGACTAAACAAAACCAGCGACTACTATAGAACAATCAGTTGCCTCACATGAACACTGTATGTAACGGTGAGAGCGGAGACAACCTCCTTTCCGATTGGAAAAGTCAAACAAATTATCTAATTCAGTGGTTGGAACTCATTCCATATGTAATGACATAGGCCTAGGTCTCATGTACGATCTTATATCATTATAGGCCTAATAAGTTTACAGTGGAATTGAAAGGAGGCTCGTGGGTTAGATACATTGTCATTTGCAGGCATAGGCCTACCCATTTATTTAATAACTGATTTTATAACATTGGGAGTGATTACAATAAGGCCTATACGGCAGGCCTAATTAATATATTACCACGCTGGTCAATGCTTGATAAAGAATTGAAGTGGTCAGATCGAAATGTCTTAAGTAAATAAATTGGTTTATCAAGATTCATATTATAAAGACAATAATAAACATTAGGCATGAAATATGAAAGGCCTATAATGGGGGCCTATTAGGCCTCTATGTTACAAAACATTTATAACATAGAAAGGTATTTTCTGTGCTTAAATAGTGCTCTCAAAATGCCAGTGTAATAAATGTCTGCAGTGTTCTCTTCAATACGTGAAAAAGAGTGAATTTCAGAGTAAATTTAACTGATTTTTCAGAAACTAAAATTTTTCCTCAGAAAAGAGTGAAATATAATCTCCATGGGAACTATTTTATATTGAAATTCAATTTTTGCACTTATGAGTAATAGTTTGAACCCGTTTCATCACCGCCTCCATTATCATTACCATGATCATTTTTCATCATTATCATAATCATCATCATCATCATCATCAACAACATCATCACCAATACCATAATCACCATTATTGTTATCATCATTATCGCCATCATCAAATCACCTGAATGTGTATCGCGAAACTGAGTACGCACTTCGGCAACAAAAGCGCAATGAAAAAAAACCCGAATATTTTAATATACATTAGATACAATTCTTTTCAATATACGTGAAGACATTTGCAATGTCTATATTTCCGTCTTCATTTTCTAAATCGTGTTTATCTCTTCATCTATCTGTAATTGAACGGGAGACTGATCTTGTAGGTCGATTGTTATCTGAATAAAAACCCTTGTGAATCAAACAATCGTGAGCCTAAAACTCTTTTTGTATTTTGAAACAATGAATTCTTTTCACTGAACGCTACAGATATTATATTACGTGTTTCAAAAAACAAATAAATTTAGAAATTCATACGCGAAATAAAGTAGTGCATGCTGTCACATGCCCCTTGCAACTCTATACAAACGTTGCCGTAACATTTTACTTGTCATAACACAGACGTGGGAAAAAATCAAACGGCGGAAGCGACTGCCTGCTGTACCAACCACCCAGTATTGCAATACTCATTGTTGAGGTGATCGAATAGTTTATTACTATATATCAAGAAACATGAGTTCCCTACTGGGTTCTTTTGATTGGAGACATGAATCTAGTTATGTTGGTGTGTATGTGCGGTTGTGTGTATGTGTGTTGGTGTACGGTACGACCAAACGACTGTACGATAAACGATTAATTCACGAGATGTAATTAACCCATCTAACAGCCCGCGTAAGCCGCACAGTTGAACATTAGCGTGCCGCTGCGCCGTCTCACCGCTGATCAACCATCGACACGGGAAGAAACTCACGGAAAGTCAAGGGAACACAACTTGACAAAAAACGTTTGGCCTTAGAGACTAAATCTGTCACACGAATTTCCAGCTCAAGCTTGTTCCCGGGAGTCCAATTCACAACGCACAAAGACATGCATTATGATTCACACAGAGTTATAAGGAAATCCCGAGAAATCGTTCATTGCACTAAGAACATCCAGGTCCTTTTGCAAATTATGAATAAATTAACCCTTCCAATAATATTACTAAAATCTCGTGATAGCTCGAATAATAATATCACAACATGGGATGTGATATATCGGCCTATTCAATGATAAACATTAACCCTTTTTCTCTTAACATAGCGAATTCTTAATCATACTTTTCCGAAGCTGCGCATATCCCACGAGGTTCAATATTAATCACAGTATTGCTTACATCATAGGCCTTCTTTTTGATAATAATTATTATTTTTCCCCACAAATTTTTGAGGAGGTGATGATCACGAAAGTAAAATATTGTCCTCCTTTGACTTGCTTACATATATTTTGAGTGTATAGGCCTACGATAATAAGTAAATGTACACTATAATCATCGGATAAAGAGACGACATGGCCTATCGTGTTTACAATTATAAGAAAGGCCATATGAAAAGACAAAGTACAACTAAAACTAAGGTATTGACAAAAGAATGAATGGATTTATGATGGATAATAAAATAAATGAATGAATGGATGGATGATTGAATGTAATACATGAATGAATGAATAAATAAATAATTTATTGAATGAATGAATGATTGCATGAATGATACGGATTTCATAATTATAACATGTCTATATGAAACTATTATGAATGAATAATTGTATTGAAGAATGAATGGATGATAGAATAAATGAATGATTGACTGCATGAATGATTAATGGATGGAATGAATGAAGGAAATAATGGATGAATAAATAAATAAATAAATAATTTTTTGATCGAATAATTGAATGAATGATACGGATTTTTAAAAAACAAAAATTAAGAACAGACAACATTAAATAGGACTGGTACCGTAGCATGTGGCACGGATAAAGCATCCATCCACAACCTGTGTGAATAATGAATTATCTAAACAAAATATGAAAATATATAATTAGTCTAATATAACAGCCTAACAAAATATAGCATAACATAAAATAATGTAGGTCTAATGCCTAAAGACGTAATAATATTATGAAAATATTTTATTCTATATTTCATTGATGTACGATGAAATTAAAACTAAGCCCAGAGGTTGTGAAGTTTATAGTTAAAATTTTTAAGTATCAAAATATTTAAAATGTTAAAATTATATAACTTAATAATATAATGTAATATTATAGTAATAATATGGTACGGTATAATAACGTATAACATAATAAATAGTAATACTGTACCGATAAATATGCCTGCAAGTATATTTTGTTCTCGTTTATGTCTTCTATATACACGAGATGTATATTTCGGTTGTCATATTGTTCATTTTGTTGCATCGTTATTATTGAACTGAAAATTTCAAATATCACCGAATTTATTAACGATGTACAATACCGTGACTCTGTGGTATCTTACATTGAAATTTAAAAATGACTCTGGATAAATAGCCCGGTACCGGTATTATTGTAATAATCTTATTATTGTGAATACAGTACTTCACGATTTAAAACCAGCCTACATTCATATGCAAAATTATTTAACTCATATAAATAATAATAGAGGCCTATATTTTGGCAACAGCAAATTGTTTTTAGGCATATACCGGTACCATATAGGCCTATTGCAAACACTTATAAAATAAAGACTCATCACAGTTTTGATAAACATAAGCCTAACATTTTTTTTTCAGGGGCCAATTTTACCGGCATAGGCCTATTGGGACCAATTTTACCGGGGCTATTTTTCCAGGAGCCACTTTTATTTTGGCCAGTTTTGTCTACATTCCCTAAAACCGCATAAAATAGGCTATTTCAAGGTTTTTCGGATGAGACTATATTAATAATTTACATAGAAATTACATAGTCTAGGTATATTGTGGTTTGACAATATTTTAGAATAAATATTAGTTAATACACAAGATAACCGAAACATTTTTTCCTCAGCGGACGGTCATGTGTGTGTTTTTATCGGCCATCAGACTGGCAAACTTAATCTGGGCACCAGGTAGGCCCAGGCTCTCTCGTACTCATCGTAAGAGGCAAGTATGTAGGCCTATGGACGCTGTTATTTTCCCAATTTACAACAGAGAGATTTGTTTATTTTTTGCATTGACTGAAAAAACCCCAAAAATGAAAGTTACAGTATGGCCATCTCTAAGGTAGTTCACAAAATACAATTAGGTCATCATCAAAGTATTCTACATTAATCTAAATTTTATTTAGGTTAACTCTCACATGCAGGTAACATCAAATATCCTGTATTTTTCTGATTGTTTTTTCTGATTGTTTTTTCATTATTCAAACTTTACACATCATAATACTTTAACTATCCTTACTAGTTAGTAAGTACAGTACATCCTTAGAACGGAATTAAATTACTTTGTAACTCCATTGCAATAAATAGGCCTGTACTACTACAGTACAAATTGGGTCTGCTGCCTGCTGATAACAAGCCCTAGCCTACAACCAAAGCACAACGTCCTCTCGCCTTCCCACCGTTCAACCTGTAATGAAATTGTCTTGTAATTAGGAAAAAAGACAATAGAAAAACATGATATCACAGTCCTTTACACTGACGTTGCTATGAACTGGTGACTTGCTAACATTGATCCTAAACGGCTTTATTAGACTTCGGCGCCTGCTCAGTAGGGTTCAATATCTTGCGCATGTATAGCGCTTGCACCTATAATAGCATCGGTGAACGTATTAGGGAGGACAGCCATTGGACACAAGAGCGCCTGCGGGGTCAAACTGACTTCAAATCGTAGTCCCGCCCACTTTGAATGTGGCGGGGCAAAGCAAGCCGAGTAGTTACTCGACCATACACCTGCTGTGAAACCCATGAGTAAAGTTAATAAAAACACGATCGTGGTTACAACGATATTATTCTGTCAGGAATTGTGCTTCAATACAAACATAGGGCCAATTTCTATCTGTTACTACAGTTACTGGAATACTACGCCATTTGCAAACTTATTTAAACGTATTTAGTTGTATGTTTCGAAGCGCCATGCCGATATTCAAAGTCGACCCAGATGAAAACCACCTATATTCAACACAACTATCACCAGGTGAAGTAAGTTCATTGGATTTAGAACATAGTCCACACAGCCACGATTCGGAGGAAGGCATGAAAGACAAACATCCAAACTATCATCAACATTATGTATCGAGGAAAAGACGATTTCGTGGAGATTCTGAGGACGAACACGATCATGATAGAACAAGTTCACACGGAAGTCCGGACAGCAGCGGAGAATCTAATCTAAAGAGGCGGAAAATCAGTGGGCAAAGTTACGAAGAACTTCAAACACAACGTGTTATGGCCAATGTCCGTGAACGCCAACGAACTCAATCATTGAACGATGCTTTCTCAAACTTACGAAAGATAATTCCCACTTTACCATCTGATAAACTAAGCAAAATACAAACTCTTAAACTCGCTTCACGTTACATCGACTTTTTGTATCAAGTGTTACGAAGCGATGAAACGGACAATAAAATGGCAAGTTGTAGCTATGTAGCCCACGAAAGACTTAGTTATGCTTTCTCAGTCTGGAGAATGGAAGGAGCATGGAATTCGATGGCGCAGCAACGGTAGTCCGATGAATAAAATGGTAGGTATAAATACTATTAACACAATAGTATTTGACAACTATTTTCGTTGTATTGTAAATATATCTGATATATCAGTAATAACTAAAATGATCTGATCCATGGGTTTATTTTACGAGATACAACAGTCCTTCTTTAGTCTAAATTACTAGTTTTCAAATCTGTGTGTTTGCAATAGTTTATAGCTTTCCCAATAAAATATAAAATTTAACCAAACCTTAAGATAAACACAAAAACCTAGCAAATAACATAAATCAACACCTATTTACTGTAACGTATTATAATAGTTAGCCTCCATGCTATTGCCCAACTGTACTAATGGTCCTAGCTGAAATGTTTATTTCATCAAGTCAAGAAGTTGTATCACAAAATTTGAAATCTAATAATACAAAATTAGAATATATAATACACGAATTAAGAGGGAATTGTAAAATTAAGACGTAATTCTTTCAAGGAAATTTTGAACGAGATAAATTGAATGATTATCGAGTGAAGTAGGTCAAACTGTCAATGACAGGAGTATCTTGAGATTTCGTAGCCTAGATCCTGTGGGCCTAGATACCTCCTTGATACACGACAACTCGCGCATCGATACCCCGCTGCGCCGAGCTTACTATCCCGCTGTTCAACCCTTTTCCTTTCTCAGTTTTATTTCTCCTTGTTCGTATTATATTAAATCCACTTATTAATTGAAGTAAAGCAATACTCGATGTTCTATAATGTTTAGTGCAATTTATTAAAGCTATTTCTCCATGTTTGGTACCAATAATTTTAATTGTCCGAATGCAATTTAACATGAGTTAGACCTACATACGCTACATGTGGGATGTATATTATTATCTAGACACATGGGATGGAATTACTATTATCTACACCCGTGGGATGAAATTACTATTTATATATAAAATTTACAGACAGCACAGAATGACAATTGTTGGACTTGCGCTTCATAAACTAAAGAATGATGCTTTCCGCTTTGATTTAGAGAGAATCCTGTTCAATTAAGCCTTCTCGTTCTATAAGCCATCAACCTTTAAATTGACACTTGTTTACATTAGTATACCACTTTCTGTAGTGTTTCCCATTCCATCTTTTCTGAGGCCAACACTGTCATTGTTGGTGATGTAAACCGACAGGTTTGTATTTACAGTACGAAGACCTATCGGTAGTCAGGGCACAACGATGTTACAGGGTATGATTGATAAAAAGATACATAAATGTGAAGAGAGAAATGTTAAATAATAAACTATTTCTTAAATATGTAGGACGATATCAATCAATCAATCAATCAAACAATCAATCAATCAATAAATAAATAAATCAATCAATCAATCAAAAAGAAAAATATGTCAATCAAACTACCATCGGAATTAAAATCCAGAGCATACCGGTAAATAATATTAATCGCGTGTAACATGTAACATAATATACGGTAACCACCGAGAGAATATATTAATATATGTTCTTCATGGTATAACATAGCTATAATAATGATAATAATAATAATGATAATAATGATAATAATAATAATAGACGTACAATTCCTAGTAAATTATTAGAATAATTATGAAATCAATGAGCTGTATATGTATACACATGCTTTATATGTCTTATATTTATACGAATCAAAAATTCTCTACGTGCATATTTTATGGTTTAGGATGTCGTTTTTAGTGTAGTATAGGCCCACAACGTTCCTAACAATTCTGTGAAACAAAATATGATCTTCTTTACATTACGATGACTTATCAAGCAATCGAGATCTTGTAAAATGTATGTATTGGCTATTGTCGCTCATCCAGTTATCAACAGGCCGAACAGAGGGTCTTCAGCCGGAGGCAAAATTCACTTGATTGAATATTGAAAGGTGGGATGTGCTATTGAATAACTTCACTCTCACTGTTATCCGGAAGAAAGAGATAGATATTAAAACCATGGACGTATAACATATTACCTCCATGTATAAACATTAACAACCTATACCGTACGTAACACGAACATTTGATTAGTAAAACCATGTAGAAACCTCACTGTTAGAACGCAGATTAGACCACGAAGAAATTTAGCGAATTTGGTAAAGTGAAATATTCCAAAATAAAGAAAAGGTCTAAATACCTAGCTGGTCAAACTATTGTTCCATAAAAAGATTGAGCTGACCCATGTCTTTAAAGCGATAGGCCTATGTTTTATTGTTTTCAAATACCCTAATAGCAAATCTCCTTAAAGCTTATTTTATTTAACATCGTAACAGCTCGGTGTAGACTTAAAGCACCCGCTGATGTTGAGATACATCGACGTGAGCTTTAAGATCATGCCATTGTTTTCTTCATTAGAAAGATATACGTTTAATAAATCAAAATGTAATGTCTACAATATACAAGTTCCTTGTAATTCAGGACTAATTGTGGTATGGGGCATGTTGTCTAGCTTTTACATACAAGCTTATATTCAACAGGCCCAATATATCATAAATACTAAAATAGATGTACCTGCACAGGTGTGTAAAAATTGATTCATAGTTGTAAGCATGTCCGTATATAATTCATGTTTCGACATTGTTTATGACTTGACTGACATTGGCGATTATTTATATCTACATTAGTTATGTGTTTAGCATCTTGCTAATTTGACGTATGTCCGATTATCTGTTTGTGTGTGGTATGTGAACGAAGCTTTACAAGTATCTTGTTCTTCTGGGAAAGTCATCGACTTGAAGGCTGAGCAAAATGATACCTCTCCTGTGTCTGTCTTGCGATCGACAATCTGATGCTGGGCATTTTAATTATACCCTGTAGGCATTTCTTAGAGTTTTATATGTACAACTACTGAATTAAAGAATGTATGCTGGCTTCTTGTTTTTACTACTTGACCAGTGGCTTTCCTCATTAATGTTTACATTTTGTTTACACTAACCTGTTTTATTAGGTATCTTATAAACTCCATCACTGAACTGATTTAGTTTACCAGATCATGAAAGTTTGTAAGTAACCATTTCTGTAAAGAAGGAGCAGCACCTTACTACCCTACCTTTTGGAAAATAACCGGGAATAAAAACGGGTTTTTTTTGTTTGTCAAAACTATAACCATTTAATGATTAGTAGATCAAATACAGGCCAATATCAGTAGGCTATCTCTATAAATATTTTAGGCCAAATAAAAATAGATATGTTCCTCATCCGAGCTTTCTTAAAAAGGTGATGAGGCCACTTTTTAAATTTGTTTGCAAAAAAACACACACACCTACTGTACTGTGGTCGTATCCAGGCCTGGAACATGACATGGGCTTTGCTTATAAGGAATTTTTAATTTTAGGCTTATGTGACGTACATGCTAGTGGAGGAGGAACATGCCACTATATTTCTTATTTAAGAATGTTCATTCAATAACTTCACCAAATTTTATTTTGGAATATTTATTGCCTAAATATTGTACTTGATCAATATGGAAATGGGTGTTAGTCAGGCTTTGTTAAAATATACCGTATTACTGATTAACACTAATAATAATAGGCCTAATAACAATATTGTATGATGATGATAATAGCGTAAAATGATGATGATGATGATGATGATGATGATGATAAAGATGGCGATAATTTTATTGTGACATGACATTATAATATCGATAATACTCGATCGTGTTTGAGTATTCGATCCTGCGGTTTGTCCATTACCTCTATGTTTCTTCCTTCCTTTTTTAAAAATAAGCCCACTGATCTAATAACTAAAACATAACTAGTATCTATGATTAATCATGAAGGTTGTTAACTACACTGGTTATCCAAGAAGCATCTAGCAGGATAATGTTTTCGCATTACATTTTAACCTAATAAATATATGTTGATATAATCCAGAATAATTGTACAGACCCTTTATGATATAAAGTAGTATTAAATTATCCCAAGCATAATTTAAAGATTTATTAAGGACGACACTTTGCTCCTCAACTTATAATTAATTTGTCTGACCGAAAGTAAACCGATTGACAATTACTAAGCAGGAATATCCGACGAGTTGTTGCATTCAACAATCTTTTCAGTTTCTGCTGAACTAGATACAATTTTCTCCGTTTGTATTTTATTTATCACATATTTACCAACAAAATTCCTTTACCCCGAAAGTGATCTAGGGACTATGTATTATATTTAAAAATGATATTATGGTATTAGGCCTATATTATTTCTATTAACGATAATGACATATTTTGTCTATGTTCTATCTTTTAACATAAAATGTCTACCGATTTCAGGGCTGTTAAAGCAAGTTATTACCGGTAGTTGAAGATAAAAAGTATATATAAAAATATTTCCTCCCTAAAAACATAAGCATATGTCTATAGGCCCAGTAATTTGGTTTCTATTGTTAGTTTCATAGGGAAACAATAAATTTAGATCGAAAAATAATATAGACCCAATATTTAAGAATTTTAGTTTTCTAAAGTGAATTAGCAAAAACTGATTGTTTTGTCGGGTATCTGATAATATAGTAAACTTAAGTGATCGTCTTAAATACACAACGGTTGGGCTTACCACACACAGTAAGTCTATAATTTTTTTTATAGAGTACACCAACAAAAAGTGCTGTACATTTATACTCTGCTCTGTAGCAGTTAATTTTTTGCAAGCTCAATCAAATGAGTTATTATTATATTATATTCAATAAACGAAGAATTATTCAATTGTCCACCTTTGAACTACAGCGGTAATATCCAATTATACTTTATAACACATGTGTTATTTGTTTGTGAATAACTAAATACAAAAAAAGAAGAAATGATTCAAAGTCCTACTTACAAACCATGGTCCTAATAAATTGTATCATAACATCATAATTGTATTACCTTGTTGGTAGCGATTGCAGAATTTATAATGTCTATGTTTTTGTTCATATGAATGTTGGTTTTTATGATTTATCATTCATGTTGTTTCTAATATTTCGATTTTCTTAATCGTTCATATCATTTTTTTTATTGGTTTTTACGTACGGT